TCTTATCGGCCGGCGTCGCTACACGGAAAAGGGATCAGAAAAGAGAGAGAAAGAGAGGGAGAGGACACGGTCGTACAGGTGTGGTCGTTAAATCCGTTAAATCGCCATAAGTGACCGGATCGACTGAAAAGAAACGGTCCGCCTCTCGCGTCAGGATCGAAACGGGCGTCACGGATAAGGGAAGGAATGCCTCGAGATATCGGGCTGGCCTCAAGTTTTATTCCCTTTCTATGTTTGGAAATTAACCGGTGCGTTGCCCGTTCGCCTTTCTTCTCCGAATGGACTCGAATGGATTCGATTCGCTCTGGATTCCTCTCGTGTCCCTCCCCTTTCGTAGGTAGATTGGCTTCGGTTCCCATTCGACGAGGCTAAAGGAAAAGAAAAGGCGAAGGCTAGGATTTAGAAAGGAAAATTTTAGTCTGGCAACCGGTATAAGTTCACTCCCTTTCGAAGATTTGTTCCATCTTCTTTTCGAGATCTTCTCTGCTGCTTTTCGTGTATTATTGTTTCAAAAGAGACTGCTAAGTCGATATATTTCTTTTCGAAGTCGATCGATAATACGTCCGTCTTTTCGCTTTCCCTCGAATTTATGAGGAATCCACGGTCCAGATTCCATCCACGCTCGCGGATCGATGTCTACCCTTTGTTGCACCTGTTACCTCTTATCCGATCACCGTACCGAAGAAAATCTCCGCTATGATACATTTATTCTTACGTCCTTCCTCCGATGTACGCGTGTGTGCGTGTGTATATACGTACGAGACCGTAATTTCGATTGGCTTACCTCATCGAGGCTATGGTTGCCAAATGTGTTCTATAGCTCGATGATCTCGGTTGATCGTTGGGAGCAGGCAGATCCTTTAGGGAGGAGGCGCGTTCCGGCCATGAAAAGAGGACGAAGAACAAGAAGTAGGAGGAGAAAACGAGCTACAACGACGACGACGACGACGACGACGACGACGACGACGACTTGGACGTAGAGAGGGATAGATGGAGCGGAGAGAGCGAGAGAGGAGGAGGCCTCCTCTTCTCTTCTCTCGGTGCACCGATGCAATATGCACGCGATCCGGGTTTTGATAATAAAGGGAGCCTTATGCAGGCACGGCAAGTGTGTGTTTATGCGAACGAGGGTGAGGGGCGATAGGCGAAGAACCTCGAAGAGAGGAGCGAGAACAGCTCGTGAAGTGTAGCCGGCCGCGCGCGCGACGAGGATAGAGCAGAAAGAAAGAGAGGAGACCGTTATCGGTAAGCGCAGACTCGAAGTAGTAGTAGTAGTAGTAGTAGTAGTAGTAGTGGTAGTGGTAGTGGTAGTAGTGGAAGAAGAAGAAGAAGAAGGAGAAGAAGAAGAAGAAGAAGAAGAAGAAGCTGGGAAGAAGAAGGAGAGGAAGAAGAAGAGTGGCCGCAAGAAGAATGCTCACAATGCTGTAATTTCAGTGTTTGATCTTCCCATCTCTCTATGGGGGTATTATATGGGTTCTCGGTGTGCGCACAGGTTACACGTACACCACGTACGCCGGCCGCGTTGACGCGTGTGCTCCGGTGCGTAAGCCTGTGTCTGAGCGTTCGAGGGGGAGGCCACGGTTTTATTTTACCCGCATTATTATTCCGTTGGAGATCGCGCGCTGATCCGTGGCCGTTGCACGGCTCGCCAAGGCAAACCCCGTGGAGAGAGCCCGGCGCGCTTATTTATGGATGGATTCCCTTTTAACTTTCGGCAGGATCGCTCCGTCCTCCTTTATCCTTTGCGCCTCCTCTAACCTCGGATCCTTTGTCGTATCCTCCGTTTGTCCACGCGCCCGTGTCCTCAACCCTTTCCCGCGCGCCCACTTCAATGCCACCGCCGCCGCCACTCGTCTCGTACGGTTTTCGTTCCTCTTTGTCGGGAGGGGGGAGGAGGGGGGAGCGCGATCGGGAGCACCGCGTCACATCCTCTCGCTAATAATGCACGAGGAGTCCTTGGTGCTTTCGCTCCTTGGTGGATGCTCCCTTTCCTCGTCTCTTTCTTTTTTTTATTTTATTTTTATTATTCTTCGTTGAAATTCTGCGTATAAAGGATCGTTATCGATCCTTTAGAATTCCTCGTCCCTTTTTTTTTTTCTCGGATCAAGATCGTTAAAGTTTTTACGAGGTCTACAGAAACAAAGTTGCAATTAGACAAGCGATTATAAATTTCGGTATAAATTGTTCCACTTCTTGTGTTCGTTCTTTTTTCTTTCTTCTTTTTTTTTCCCCCCTCTTTTCGGTCCGAATTCCTTCGAGGCGTACCCCCTCGGCCTCGAAACAGGCGGCAAGCGCCGGCGTCGAACGTTCGGGAAGTGAATTTGGAATTCGTAGAAGTTCTCTTCTATCGAGCTGGTATCTCGGCCGTGGAGCGTAATCAGTCCATCATCCGGTCTCTCTGCCTTCCCTCCTCTCTCTCTCTCTCTCTCTCTCTCTCTCTCACTCTCACTCCCGCGACTCCTTTTACTGGTTATTCGCCCGATGGAAACTTTCCTCTCGTCGCTCATTACCGCTATCTCCGTCCGGCTGACCATCAACTGATATCCTATCGACGGCCAACAACTCGTGGGCCATTTTTTTCAACAAAAATCCTCGCGCTGTTCGCTCGTCCACTTAAAAAAAAAAGAAAAAAAAGAAAATTCCTTCTCTTCCATTTTCGTCGAAAAGGAAAAAGAAAAAAAGACAACTTTCGAGAAAGAGTCTTCAAAGATTACCGAATCGGTCTCTTTCTCGATCCCAACCTCGAAGTCGATCTTCCATATACGCCCATAATAATCGAAAGACATTTCAATTGCCGATCCCAACGCGATCGCGTAGAAAGATGCAAGCGGGGAAATTTTTTCGTGGACCGTGGCGGTTTTCGTTCAGCCTTGGTGAGCAGCGCAATTAGATAACGAGCGAGTGTTTTCCAACGATCGAACGCCCGGACAACACAGTGCAGATTGCATTGTTGTCTTGTCCCAGAGATCACCGCGAGGGTATCGGT